CAAACAAGGCCAGAAACCCAGGGCCCCAGACTGGTCCACTCTGGAAAGCCTGCAGTCTCAGCTCACGGAAGCCCAGGTTTTCAGCAACTGGGCCGTTCACACATGCTGTTTGACAAGGAATACTCTCAAGTGAGGGGACTCTGTCAAATTTTTTAAGATTTTTTTTTTTTTGGTACCATAGGGCACATGTGCTCCACCAGAGAGACAGAGAGAGGGAAAATGAGAAATCACTCCCGGGGAGATGGCCACACTGCAATCCCTTCTCCTCCAGTCTCTTAGGATTTTGGGCACGCACACACACGTGCCCAGTGTGATTCTCAAGCGGCTGGATCAGGAACTCGAACCGCAGTCAGCCACGTGGGATCCAGTGCCTTACCCCGCTCGCCACATGTCAGCCCTGTACTTACCAATTCCGAGTGATGCCTTTCTGCATGTTGAGCTCATGATCAATGGGTGGGGGGACAGACTGGATGCAATGTGAGAAGAACCCCAGACGACCTCAGCAATCCCGGTGACACACAGAAGGTGACCCAGGGAAAGCGCCAAGCCCCATCCCACTGGGTTGGCGGCCTGGGAATGCTCAGGCCCCCGCCGCCCCCATGCCAGGAGAAGACTCACCCGACGGTTGTGATTGTGGTCGACGGAGTGCAGGTGCCGCTGGAGGAGCTGGTGCTGGGCGGGAATCAGCATGTCACAAGCCAGGCAGTGCGCAGCCTCGATCTTCTTGAAGAAATGCTCCTGGCCAATCCCTGTGATGAGACCCGAGTCTGGTGAGTTGCTTTCCTACTGCTAGTGACAAGGCCCGTGCATTCCCCCCACACCACTCCTTAAAGGATTCGGTCAGGACAGTGTCTGAGGCAGGCCCAGCCTGCCCTCCTGCAGGAAAGTGGGACTGGATGCCAGCATCTACAAACAGCATCTTTATCCTTCCAGTTCCCTCATCTGTCGGGTGGTTTCTTTCCACAACAAGGAGTGAAAAACCATCCACGTGCTTAACAGCACCTGAGCAGCTGCTGCTGCGGAGCTGGAATCAACATTAGGCCACACATGGGGATTTCCTTCCCATTGCTAAGTGCTCTGCCCACAGGTCTCGACTTCACATTTTGTACCAGTATCTTTTCTTTGTCTTTTTCACCTTTTTTTTTTCTTTTTTTTTTGGTGGGGGTGAGGATTTTGCTATAGAGTGTGTGCGCTCACTGGAGAGACAGAGAGTCACAGAAAGAGAGTGAGAAATCACCCCCCAGGGGGGATGGCCATGTCGCAGTCCCTTCTCCTCCATTCTCTCCGGATCTTGGGCATGCACGCACACGCACCCGGCATGAGTTTAAGCCATCAGGTCTGGGACCTGAACTGCGGTTAGCTACATGGGAGTTCAGCAACACAGCCATTACGCTAACTGCTAGTCCCTTGTTTTTGTTTTTTGTTAAAGAATAACCTAATTTTACTCATTACCATTATATTATTATTATTTTTGAAATTGAGAGGAAGAAGGAAAGTGAGAAAGTAAGCCGCCAGGCCTGGGACTCAAACTACAGCTGCCTGAACCACCTGCCAGCCGCTCACAGTGTTTTTAAGCCCCCTGGGCTGGGATCAGAACCATGGTCAGCTATGTGGGACATAGTTCCCTGAACTGCTAGGCTACAGGCGGACCCCAAGTCTTTCCTTTTTTTTTTTTCTTTAAAGTTTCTTTTTTGGGGGTCAGAAGATAGCTTAGAGGGTGCATTGCTGGACTCTCACACAGCCAACTACGGTTCAAATCCCAGACCCAGTGGCTTGCAAATCGTGCCAGGCATGCCCATTCCCCGGGAAGGTAATTTCTCACTTTGCCTCTCACTGCCTGTCTGTCTCTCTCTGGCGAGCACACACACTCTTAAGGCCAAACAAACAAACAAACACTTTATTTTCTCCTTCCATAAACAACAGAGAGAGAGTATCCCCACAGGGACCTGACACCACAATCCACCCCCAGCTTTAGCCGGCCCCGGGTGACGGGCATGTATATTCTAGGCACATTTAGGGAGCTTTCCAGGTGCAGGCCAGACCCTTCCCCTGCAGGTGAGCCCTGCGCTGCCACGTCCCTGCTGTGCCACTGTCTGCGTGCCCCATGTCACACGCCTTCCTGCCGGCATGAACCACACAGGCCCGAGCTCACGACTCACCCTTGAAAGGATCTGGTTTTGGTTTCGCGCTTTCCTTTTCCATCAGCTCCTGACGCCGCTTCTCGATTTTCTTATTCCGGTTTACGATGTACTCCTAGAGGGGATCGGAGACCGCACCGCGTGAAAGGAGAGGACGGCGTGGGTGCCCAGGGCCCGACGGCGGGGGCCAGGACGGCCTGGAGGGCAGACCTGTTGGGGACTGCAGAAGCCAGAGCACTAGGCCGTCCCCTCTGCCACTCAGAGATTCATGCAGCTGTCATTATTCACGCAAGAGTGACCTTGTCCAGGGTTAGGGCTCTGTCACTTTTCTTTTGAAATAATCCTTTATGTTTATTATTATTTTAGAATTTGGTATAGGGGGGACCAGCAGATAGTGTGATGGCTATGTCGCTGGACTCCCACGTAGTCAACTGTGGTTCAAGTCCCGGACCTGGCGGCTTAAAACTCATTCCGGGCGCGCGTGCATGCCCACGATCCCGAGAGGAGAATGGAGGTGAAGGCATTGCAGCGTGGCCATCCCCCCTGGGGGGTGACTTCTCACTTTCCGTCTGTCTTCCTGGCAAGCGCACGTGCCCTATAGCAAAAACCTCTCAAAAAAAAAAGGTATAGGGCACATGTGCAGGAGAGGGAGACAGAGAAAGCCAGCCACCCAGTCTGGGTCTCCTAACCGTGGTCGGCCACGTGGGAGCCCAGTGCCCTAACCACCGTGCACCTGCAGCTCGAGGTTTCAGTCTTTCACATCTCTGCCCATTCCCTCCTCTGCCAGGATTCTGATGCCTGCAGAAGCATCAGGAGACACAGCAGGTGGCCTCATGTCTGAACCCCCTCGTTTAATCTGGTGTCATTTTGTAGTTCCTTAAACTGTTATAATACATACACGCACACATATATATACACACACATGTATACACACGTGTAAATATACACATACACATATGTAATGAGTATATACAGAGATACACACACACACACACACACACACACACACACACACATCCATACATCTCTTTCTCTCATAGAAAGAGAGAAAGCAACCCTTGAGAGAGTAGCAACACCACAATCCTCTCTCTCGGGATTTTGGGCACACACACATGCCCGGTGTGATTGTCAAGGCGCTGGGTCGGGGACTCTCACTGCACAGTCAGCCACATGGGACCCCGCTGCCTTCACCACCGACCCCGCAGGCTGGCCCCAGGTAAAGCCTGACGCCCCTCACCTGCAGAAACTCCACCGTCTTGTCTGGCAGTTTGGTACTGATAAACCGCAGCGTCTCTTTGTGAAACTTGCTTTGCAGATGCTTCTGGATTTCTTCGTCTTCGAAGCTGCGGAACTTGCACACAGAACAGGCAAACTGAATCCTGGGGAAGACAGAAAGGAGAGAGGCTGCGGTGCGGGGATCACCAGCTCACCTCTGCGTACCGCTATGAACCAGAACGTCCAACTTCTCACAGGCAGTCGGAGTAACAGATTCGAAAGAATGGGAATGTGGGGCCGGCAGTGGCACGGTGGTTAGGGGCGCTAGACTCCCACATGGCTGACCACGGTTCAAGTCCCAGACCTGGTGGCTTGCTTTCTCGCTTTCCTCACTCTCTCACTGGCCCTCTCTGGTCAAATAAAGTTCAAAAAAAAAAACAAAAAAAAAAAAAAAAAGAATGGGAATGGAGTCTGACTAGTGTTGCAGGAAAATGTGTGGCCTCTGTGAGAACACTGTAAGGTACTGACTTTCTAAACTGTGGCCTCCAAGCCCTCTGTGGCCAACTGCTCTGGCATCCAGCACCTAATGCCACAGCTCCCCAGATGGGTTCCTCTCTGCAGCTACCAGTATGACACAAGGAAACTGCATTTAAAAATCCCTGAGCAAGGGCCAGCAGATGGCGTAGCAGTTATGTCACTGGACTCCCGCATGGCCCACCACGGCTCGAGTTCTGGACCTGGTGGCTTGAAACTCACGCCCAGCACATGTACACACATGCCCAAGAACCCAGGAGGAGACTGGAGAGTGGACTGAGTCGTGGCCATCCCACCGGGGGGTGATTTCCCACTTTCCCTCTCACTACCTCTCTGCTCAGTGCACACACCCTAAGGCAAAACCCTCTACAAGGTAATAACTGGGACCAGCAGTTGGTATAAGGGCTGTCGCTGGACTCCCATGTAGTCGACTGCGGTTCGAGTCCTGGATCTGGTGGCTTAAACTCACGCCGGGCATGTGTGTGTGCATGCCCAAGGTACCGAGAGAATGGACTGCGGTGTGGCCATCCCCCGGGGGGTGATTTCTCACTTTCTGTCTCTCTCTGTCTTTCTGGCGAGCACATGGGCCCTATAGCAAAAACCTCTCCAAAAAAAGAGATAATAATGACAGGGCCGGCAGGTGGCATGGTGGTTAAGGGCACTGGATTCCTATATGGCCAACCATGGTTTGAGTCCTTGACCTGGTGGCTTTCTCTCTCTCTTTTCTACCTGTTCCTCTGTGGTCAAATTAAAAAAATAAAGTTAAATAAAGTAACTTAAAAAAGAGAAAAATAAAAGATAATAATAATGATGAAACCATGTGCAGAGAAACAGCAGGTGGCATGGTGGTTGAGGCACTAGATCCCAGCTGGCCTAGAGTGTGGTTTGAGTCCCGGACCTGGGAGCTTGAAAATCAGGCTGGGCACATGTGTGTGCATGTGCATGCCCAAATCCCAAGAGGAGCACGGGGTATTTCCTTGTACGGGAAAAATCCCTGTTCCTTCTGTCCATTAAGGGCAAGGATTCTTCCTAGTCGGAAAAAGAATCCACACAGAGACGCAGCCACGTGTGGTCAAGGCCGTGGCAGCCATCCTTGCACGTTGGCTTCCTGCTAGGACCAGAGACCGCCGGACAGAGAGAGGCGGTGACGTGATGTGGCCACATCAATGCCCTCTGGGCGCTCTTGTATCCTTTTTCTATTTCAAGACAAAAACCTCAAAGGTAGAAATACCTATATCCAAAGCAAATCTCCAACATACGACTTTTAAAAAAAATAATTATTATTTCATTTATTATTACTCATTTTGCTGCAGGGGCACGTGCACTCACCAGAGAAAGACGGTGAGAGGGAAAGTGAGAAAATGAGAAAGCTGGGAACCAGCAGTTAACGTAATGGCTATGTCGCTGGACTCCCACGTAGTCGACCGCGGTTCACGTCCTGGACCCGGTGGCTTAAAACTCACGCCGGGCGCGTGTGTGTGCGTGCCCAAGATCTAAGAGGAGAATGGAGGAGAAGGGATTGCGGCGTGACCATCCCCCCTGGGGGATGATTTCTCGCTTTCTGTCTCTATGTCTCTCTCTGTCTGTCTGGCGAGCGCACGCGCCCTACAGTGAAAATCTCTCCAAAAAAAAAAAAAAAAGAAAAGAAAATGAGAAAGCAAGCCACTGGGTCTGGGACTCCAACGGTGGTCAGCCACGTGGGACTCCAGCTCCCTTGCCATTATGCAACCTGCTGGCCCCTAAGAGGATCTTTTGACTTTCTCAGGATGCGATCGTGTAGTCAGTCGAGGGGCGCCTGTTCACACTTCACTGAGCTCCAGAGGCAGTCTGTGTCTGAACAAAGCACCCGAGCCAACTGCTGTTGAGTGAGGATCAGTTTTCTGGGATGCCAGATGCCGAGCCAGGGAGAGAGACGCCCCTCAGGCTTGTTGGGAGGCAAGAGAACCCCCTGTTGGGCATGCATGGGCCACACAGATGCACCAGCAAGGTTAAGGTGCCAGAGGAGATGGAGAGGGATGAGATTGGAGACCAGGAGCCGTGGAGCAGCAGAAACCTAACTCCACTCGCCTCTCAGCACTAACAGGTTTCCCATCTGTGTCTGCTGCCAGGATAACATTTTCCAACACGAGGCCTGATGCAGTGCACCCACATGAGAAAGGTCCTGGGTTCCTGTCCTGGGACCTTCCTGAGCATGCCAGATGCACCACGTCAGCCCTGGTATCCCTGATCTGAAACAGCCGAGACAGGGAAGTGCTGCATAATGGGGACTCTGTCAGGACGCCTACTTTGGGCTCTACAGAATACGTAAACTTGGGGGAGACAAAAGGGAGCCAGCCTCACGGCCTAGCAGTTAAACAAACAGGTATCCCCATGGCTGACTGTGGTTCAAGCCCTGGCCTTGCCAGCCAGAAAAACACACCAGGTACATTTGCGTGCATGTCCAAAATCCCAACCAGATAAAGAAATGGAAAAGGGAAGACCAACAGTTGGCGTAATGGCTATGTCACTGGACTCCCATGTAGGTGACTGCAGTTTGAGTCCCGGACCTGGAGGCTTAAAATCAAGCCGGGCATATGTGCGTGCATGCCCAAGATCCCAAGAGAATGGAGAAGGGATTGCGGCATGGCCATCCCCCCTGGGGGGTGATTTCTCGCTTTTTGTCTCTGTGTCTCTGTCTTTCTGGTGAGCGCGTGTGCCCTATAGCAAAAACCTCTCCAAATAAATAAGTAAATAAATAAAACAAATGGAAAAGGGATTGAAGCATGATCAGGCCCTGAGGGTTGCTTTCTCTTCCCCCCTCTGATGAGTACACATGCCCTCTGATAATTAAAGAAAACATTTTCTCAGGGCCAGCATGTAATATAGTGGTTGAGGCACTGGACTCCCATGTATTCAACCACAGTTCAAGCCCCAGACCAGGTGGCTTCAAACTCATACCGGGTGTGTGTGCGCCCAACATCCCAAGAGGAGGAGAGAGGAAAGGGGATTGGAACATGGCCATCCCCCTCCAGGGGGCGACTTATCACTTTCTTTCACTGGGTCTCCAGTGAGTACATGTGCCCTACAGCAAAAATCTAAGAAAAAAAAGTATTTTCCCCCACAGACAGCCAGATGGAACCAGCCTCCCTGCCCTGTGGGGAAAGGACAGGTGAGGTGGGGAAGAGACTGAACAGTTCCCAAGGCTGGCTCCTCTGCCCACCCAACCTCCCGTTCGCCCGCGCCTCACCTGTCGGCTGCTCGGTCCCGCATCCTGTCTCTCCTCCTCTGCTTTTCCCTTCTCTTCTTCACTTCTTCATCCTCGTCCTCCTTCTCTCCTGTAAGGGAGAAATCTTTTCGAGATGCTCTGAGGCATCAGAAGAGCTGACCTCCAGGGTCAGGGCCTTGTTGGGGGCCACCCCCAGGCCTGGCTGCCGCCTCTGCAGCACAGAAGGGGCAGGACACCCCGAGGCACCGAGGGGCCACCCGAGGCTCCCGGAGGATGTGGGCCTTAGGTGGGGCCCCAGGTGAGTCAGCTCACTCGCGGTGACCAACAGGCCGGGATGGGCCCAGGCCAGGGCCGGCTGCTCCGGCTCAGAGCAAGGCCCACCTGCTCTGTCCTTCCCCATCCTGCCCTCCGTCTAGAGCCCTACCATCGGGGCTTCTCTCAACGCCACGTAGGGAGCGAGAGAAGCAATCTCCCCAGATCCAGAGGCTGCAGCAGGAAGGCCTCAGGAAGGAAAGCAAGCCGCTCTCATGCCTTCCGTGCCACCTCTAGGTGGGCCGTGACGACTGTCCCGTCGGCCATGTCTCAACTAGGGCCTCAGCAGGTGTGAGTCCTTGCTGGCCCGACCTCTATCTTCCACTCACAAAAACCGCAGTCTAGGGCTTTCCCAGGTCTGCGTGGGAAGCAATCCTAGGAACAGAAATGGGAAGAGACCGATTGGTCCTCCCGTCCGCCCCATGGGGCCGGCGCAGGAGCTCCTCGGAGAGCCTCATGCGGGCCGGCGTCCCAGCGTGAGGCCGGGCCGGGTCCCCGGGGCTCGGGGCTCGGGGCCGGGGCCGGACGCTGCAAAAAGGTTGGAGAAGCATCTGAACCGTAACCCCTACCCCTGGTGCCAGTCCCGAGACTGTCCCACGAAGATGGCGACCGGCGTGCGCTGCTCAGAAGCCTCTCAAAAGGGCGTGTGGGATTTTTGGCAAGAGGTCACTGCCTGAAACTATGACTGCTGTTTAAGAGCAAAGTCATCCCGGGGAGGTAGCAGGACCTGCGCGCAACAGACATGTCACCTTTGTTCAGCATTTCCCCGCTGCACGAGCTGCTCAACGCCCGGCCTGGTCCCCAGCTACGGGCAGAACGGCTTCACTACGGGGACGGGGAGGGGCCTCGGAGGTCGCTCAGCCCAAAGGCACGGACGGGGATGCTCTCTGCCATGGCCTTCAGCTCTGGGAGTGGAACCACTTAGAAGCCTTGGGGTAACCGGATAGGGACAGCCCCAGGGGACCAGGAAAGCACACAAGTGGCCTGAGGGTAAGCTCGGGGTTGCCTCTCTGTGCCCCTCTGAGAGGAGAGCTTTGACCTTGGTCTGCCCTTGCTGCTGACTTTGGACTTGTATAAAGCCTCCTGTGCTTGCAGGAACGAGAGCCGCTGACCAATGGCGGGCTTGCGAGGACCTGTGCCTCTGCACCGGACAGACCCCCGCACCCAGCCCATTCCCAGTCCCGGTAGGCATGTCCGTCTCACCCTTGCAGACACGCAGGGACCTGAACCGTAGCTGTCAGTGTCCCACCAGAGGCCGGGAACACAGTCCCAGACAGGACGAAGCCCAGGAGAACACAGCACGGGATGTGCACTGGCCAAGCGGGGTCAGAGACGGGCTGGAGGGGCCCCCTCTCCCGTGTCTCCCTTCCGGAACTGCCACTGTGAGCTGTCATAGACACCCAGAGGCAGGTCCCTCCCCTCTGTACGGACGCTGAGTGAGGCCAACGGACCGTTCTCCAGCAAACACGGCCCCCCAGACATTCCGGAGCAAAGCCTCGGGGTGCCTGCCATGGCCAAGGTCCCTCTTTATTGAACCCTCGTCCCTCTATCCAGGACCCCCGGCATGCTCAGAATCCCAGCCCTGCTGGGATCTGGTTGGGGGCAGGGTGGCCAGGCAGACACGGGAAAGCTGCAAGGACACGGGGAATGCCTACCTCTCTGCCGCCCCGGGTCACCGAACTCGTCCTCCTGGAATGGGACACACAGAAAGTCAGGCAGTACGGTGGCATTCCCAGCGTTCTCCATAACCAGCCCGGATCCCTGCAACCACTTGGGCGGAGGGTGGTCTCGCCCCAGAATCAAGTCACTGTGCCACCAGGAGATGAGCTGCAGTTTGCAAGACAGGCCTAGGGCCTCGGGACAGAGCCCGGGAGCACCTCGGTTGTCTTGGATCTATGATAGTAATTCCTTTAACACAAGGATGCTCTGTTACTTCTTTCATTCTTTTCCTTAAAATTTACAAGGGCATGTGCTCTCATCAGAGAGGGAGAGGGAGAGGGAGAGAGCAGCCCACAGTGGGGGATTGTGGTCATGCCACAAACCCTACCCTCATTTACTGTTTATTTCATTTTGTTTTGTTTTTAAAGATTTCTTTTTTTCATTTTATTTATTAATTCATTTAGTTAAACTGGACCACAGAGAAAGAGAGAAAGAGAAGGAAAGTGAGAAAGCAAGTCGCCAGGTTCAGGACTCGAACCACAGTCGGCCATGTGGGAGTCCAGCGCCCTTAACCACCACGCCACCTGCCTGCCCATTTTAAAATGTTTTAAAGAATTAATTTTCTTTTAAAATGTGACCTGGCACAGGGCTGGGGGTGGGGGATAGAGAAAGGAGAGAGAAGAGGAAAGAGAGGGAAAGTGAGAAAGAGAGCAGGCTGCCAGGGCCAGGACTCGAACCACGGTCAGCCGTGTGGGAGTCCAGCGCCCTTTAACCACCACGCCACCCACCAGCCTATCCTTCTCCAATTTCTCATCCTGTTGGGATTTTCAACACATTCCCTTGCCTGGCATGCCTTTTAAGAAGCTGGGGCCACGATCTGAACCCTGGTCAGCCACATGGGATACAGTGCCTCAAGGCCAGCGCTCGGTGCTAGGGGTCTAGCCCAAAAGTCAGCTTTAAGGAAAGCAACCAGTGCCGGCAGGTGGCACAGTGGGATAAGGTGGCTGGACCCCATATGGCCAACAGCCGAGGTGGGGTCCTGGATCTCGTGTCCTGAAATACACACCAGGGGACCGGCAGGTGGTGTGGTGGTTAGAGGCGCTAGATTCCCACACGGCCGACTGTGGTTCAAGTCACCGACCTGGTGGCTTCCTTTCTTACCTCCCTCCAAAGTGAAAAATAATAACAAACGGAACTAAATAAATAAATATATAATTCTTTAAAAAAAAAGAAAAGAAATACACATCAGGTACCTGTGCATGTGTGCCCAGAATCCCAAGGGAAGGATAGGAAAAGGAATTGTGGCATGGTTACCCCCCAGGGGGTGATTTTTCACTTTCCCTCTCTGCGGTAAATGTACGTGCCCTCTAGCAAACTAAAGAAGGGGGGAAGAAAAAAAAAAAAAGGAAACCTACTTCAGTTGCAAAAGGGACACGAAATCAAAGTAGAGGGCCAGCAGGTGGCGTGGTAGTTAAGGGCGCTGGACTCCCACAAGGCCAACCCTGGTTCAAGTCCTAGACCTGGCGGCTTGCTTTCTCAACACCCCCAACTCTGCCCCTCTCTGGTCAAATTAAAATAAATAAAGTTAAAATCATTCTTTTTTAAAGAAAAGAAAAGAAATCAAAGTAGAGTCAAGTATACCAGGGCAGGTGGGGAATACCCACCTCTCTGAGGAGAGAGGCTAAAGGAAAGAAATCCCGCACCATAAAGGAGGTTGACCCCGTAAAGGAGGAACTTACGCCCCTGAAGTCTTCATCTCCTGACCGGAAGTCAGCAGCTCCGTCATCTGCCAGACACAGACAGGAGAAGTCAGCCCCAGGACAGGTGGCCCCGAGACCCACATTCACGCCAAGCTCACTGTCCAGGGTGACAGTCTGTCCTGACCGCAGCGGGGGCCGTGGGAGTGTGTGTGAGACATGCCACACTCAGATGGGACAGGCAGGCGGCTGTGGCCTCACTGACACCCATCCGGCCAGGCCAGCCCCTGGGGCGTACCATTCTCAGAGTAGTCTCCTTCGCTGTCAGCGCGGGCCAGCTTGGCATCCGGCTCTTCGTACATCTGGAACTGCTTCCGCTTCCTGCCCATGCTGTCCGGTCCGAAGCGATCAAACCCTCTCCTCCGGGGCTGTGGACACAAGCACACCACATGTCCCACTCGCCAGACCATGAGACCTCACAGAGGGTAGAAAGAATGTCTTTTTTTTTTTTCATTTTTTAAAAAAGAACTATGTATTTATTTATTATTATTATTATTTTAACTTGACTAGAGACAGAGAGAGAGAGAGAAGGAAAGTGAGAGAAAGCAAGCTGCCAGGTCCAGGACTCGAACTGCAGTCAGCCATATGGGAGACCAGCATCTTAACCCACATGGCCTGTCAGCCCCAAAGAGAGAATTTTCAAAAAGCAAAGAGATGACTTACTTAAAACACTAAGGAAATGTCACCCTTGGTGCTAGACACAAAGGGGCCCATGCTGTAAGAGTCCACTGATATGTGGGGCCAGCAGGTGGCGTGGTGGTGAAGGCGCTGGATTCCCACATGGTCGACTGTGGTTTGAGTCCTTGACCTGGCAGCTTGCTTTCTCAATTTCTCTCTGTCTCTCTGATCAAAACTAGTAAGAATAATCATTATAATAACGATGATAAATAAATAAAACGCAGTAATTCTTAAAAAAAAAAAAAAAAAAAAGAAATAACAAATTATGTATTTAGGAAACAAAAAATCCCAGACGGTAGACTGGGGGTCATCAGGGGCTGGAGGGGGGGGTGGGGTAGGGAGGAGTGACTGCCGACAGGCAAGTTTCTTTCTGGTTACAGGAAATTTTGCCAGACTAGACTGTGGTGGTGACTGCCAGACTCTATAAACTTATTGTAAGTCAGGGCTGGCGAGTGACGCAGTGGTGAAGGTGCTGACTGTGGTTCGAGTCCCAGACCTGGCGGCTTGCTTTCTCACTTTCATTTCTCTCTCTCTCTCTCTCTCTCTCTGGTCAAATTTTTAAAAACAATAACAAAATAAATAATTTCAAAAAAAAAAATTTACTAAAAGTCGAATTGTATGCTTGGAAACCAGTGACTCTTGCGTTCTGATAAATGTTACCTCGGTAAAGCCATGAAAGGCAAAGACGGCCCAGCCGACAGGACTTACCCGATCTCGCATCCGGGTCTGTGAGCGGCCACACCCATAGGGCATCGAGCTGTCGTAACCCCCCGCCCCCTGCATGCCCATGGCGCCATAGTCGGAGGGGGCCATGGACTGGGAGAAGAGGGGGGGCGGCGGTGGCCTGCTGGGCGAGGGGCCTCCCAGGCCTCGCCCACCCACATAGTTCAGGTCATTCCATGGTGTGGACAAGGGTTCGGAAGAGGCCGCGGGAGGCATGAAGGGGTCGCTGCGCATGAAGTTGCTGGGGTTGCTCCGGTCCTGGAAGCGGTCCTGGAAGCGGTCCTGGAAGCGGCTTTGGCCCCGGCCCCGGCCGAAGCCATCGAGGGGGCTGCGCTCGCGGACGGGGTCCCGGCAGTCGCTGTACTGCCCACCGAAACCGCCGTTGCGGTCAGACCCCAGGTGGAAGTCATAGTCGTAGCTGTAGCTGGGGCGGTAGGGGTTGGGCTCGGGCAGGCAGGGCCTGGAGTCGTAAGACTCGAAGTGCTGGAAGCGGAAGGAGCTGCAGAAGAAACACAGGTTGTCGGGGGTGGCCGGGGACCCCGCCAGGACCACCCCACTTCCGCACGCCCCTGGAAGGCTGCCCGCACCACCCACACCCACCTAAACTCGATGGCCAAATCTACCAACACGCAAGGAGGGGTGGGTAACCACTAACCACAAGAGCGGCTAATGTGGAGAAAGGGGAGTCCAGGGTGGCCCAGCCAGCAGTCGCACCCCAAACCCCACCCCCAATGGGCCAGCGACTACCGGATGCCCCGGGGGATGCCCCTGCCCCAGCCCCCAAGGCTCAGCTCTGGCACCCCCAGGAGGCCCTGAGGATGAGCCCTCCCTGCAGAGCGGGCACCCATTCCCCGGGAAGGGCGGGAGGGGGTCCCATAATCACCTCTCCCGGTCCTGCATGCCCTCCCCACCGCCGCCGCTCCCGCCCCTGCCTCCTTCCTTGGACATCAGGTCCAGGCGCTGGTTGATCTTGGCGATGAGGGAGTCGGAATTGTCAGCGCACGGCTCTGGGCCGTAGGAGGCCATGTGCATAGGGGGGCCGCCAGCTGCCAGGCCGCCATCGCTGGCCTTGGTGGCCTCCCACGAGGCAGGGCCGTAGCTGTAGGTGGCGCCTGTGTTGACGTTGGTGTTCTGGGCCCCGTAATAGTTGTAGTTTTCATAACCTGTCATGGGGGGAGGAGGTGGTGAGACCACAGCAGCCCTCACCAGCTGTGACGGCCTTTCATGACAGACGTGGGGTGGGAGCACCCACTACCTCTGAGGAGGGATGGAGAGCTGCTGCCCATGGCCCGGCCAGTCCCCGGGAAGGCTGTCCGGGCCTGGGGCCTCAGCACTGCCTGGGCCCTCAGGAACAGGGCCAGAAATTCCACACCCAACACCTCCCTGACGCCCGGACATCGGGAGAGCACAGTGAGAACAGGGACTGGGTGCTTACATCCTGGTCCCGAGGGAGGGCAATCAGGGCCCCCCCCTCCCCTCCCACCTGCAGAGGAGCTCACCTTGCCAGCTGGCCACACCAGTTCCATACGCTCCTTAGGGGAAACAAACACAAGAGCTTTGTTTGCAGAATGAAGGCGCCTGGCGACCCTCTCCCTAAGACAAGTTGTCATCTCACCCAGCACCCAGAGCCTAGCCCCGGCCCCAGGACCCTGGCTGGCTGTTAGCCTACCTCCTCCCTACAGAACATGGGGCTACGCAGCTCTCATGCAGGCCAAAGGTCTCTGCACACTCCCTGGGGAACATGCCCAGCAGCCGAGGGGCCGGCTGGGCTGGGACCCCAGGCAGAGGCCTGTCTCAGGGCTGGTTCTCACCGGGAGCCAGAACTCACGCCCTGCCAACCGTGCTGAGAAGGTACTGGTGGAAAATCACGTCCTCGGCTCAACCGAGGAAGGGGACGTTATGTACCACCAGCGACCTGGAAGGCCTCCTCTCGGGGCAAGCAGGGGAAAAGTGGCCCTGCCCCCAACGGGGCTAGGGACAGGCCCCGGGCTCAGAGAACAAAGGACACCCGCGTCCCCTGGAACAGAGGCTGGAAGAAAAACCTCACCGCCAGAGAGCACGTTCTGGTTTCTAAAGCAGGCTGAGTGTCATGACCCCGAACGGGGGGAAGGTGTCTGCAAAGAGCCCCGAGGGCCAAATATAGCCTATTGGTACTTTCCTTTTCTCTTGTTCTGTTTTTTTTTTTTTTTTTTTTTTGATTTGCTATAGGGTGAATACTGTTGCAGAAGAAATCAGAGGGAACAACAAAGTGCCCTTCGGTAGGGATTACCACACAGCCATACCTTCCCCGCTACGAGTTTATATATAGCACTTGAACTAAGAACGGGTTTAGGTTCTTAAGTGGACGGGAAGGAAAACCTACGTCATAGGACTTTGACACGATGTGCGTCATGTACACATATGTCAAGATGCAGCAGGAGGCCCCAGCTCCATGGCACACACAAACGTGCTGCTCGAGAGAAGTCAAATCTCACAGAGACTGAGGACTTAACACCTGGCGGGGTCCACCCATAACTTGCTGGGCACGTGTTTGGGTGTCCAAGATGGCGGCGTCACCAGACCCCGTGGAGGGTGCTCCTCTCTCTCATGTGAACGTGCATGCAATTCTCTACTGTGGATGAAGGAAAAAAAGAGGGCTGGCTCTGTGGTCTGGTGGTTAAGGGAACTGGATCCCACATGGCCAACGAGGGGATATGAGTCCTGGACGTGGGTGCTTGAGAAACATGCCAAGCACATGCACATCCAAAATCCCAAAAGCGAGAGGTGGAGGAAAACGGATGGTGGCCTGACTGCTGGGGGAGGGCGGGCGCATGGGGCGGGGGTGTGTGGGGTGTGTGGGGTGTGTGTGCTTTCTCCTGCTCTGGCAACTGTGTGCGCTCTGTGGCAAAATTTAAAAGCAAGTTGGAGGGCCGGCAGGTGGCGTGGTGGTTAAGGGCACTGGACTCCCACATGGCTGACTGTGGTTCGAGTCCCATACCTGGGTGTTTGCTTTCTCACTTTCTCTCACTCTTTGCCTCTCTAGTCAAACTAAAATAAATAACGTAAATAAAATCATTATTAAAAAAAAGAAAGAGAAAACGAAGCTGGACCAGCCAGGTGAGTGGTTGTTCTGGCAGCTGGAGCCCACGTGGCCAACTGCAGGTTTTGAATCCCAGAGCCCATAGCTTGGAGAACACACGGGCGCATATGCCTGCGAGGTGTTCTGGGTGAATGAAGGAGAAGGGATGGAGGCATGGCCATCACCTCGTGTGGGGCGATGTTACCTCATTCTCGACCTCCACCCCCACTCTGGTGAGCACATGTGCCCTATAGCAAACTTAGAGAGAAAGAGAGGCCCACAAACGTACAGGATACAAGAGTGAAGGTCAATGCAAACGCTGGCTACTGTAGCGGCCCTGGCTTCCTAATTGTAACAAACGTACCATGCTGATGCAGGACCTTAGTAACAACAGAAACAACGCAAGGGGAAAAGATGGGGGGCGGCATGGATAGGGAACTCTTGTGTGCGCCTGCAGGATTCTATAGATCTACATCTGTACTCAAAAATCTTACCAACTGAAGAAAACCGTTGCCTGTACCGTCAGCTATCAGGAGAAAATAACAGGAGCGGTTTGCCAAGAGAGTATTTCATGACGCGTGAAAATGATAGGAAGCTTTGGCACCCGTCAGTAAATACGGGCACGAAGCCACGGCCGCCGGTTTACCATCTACACCATCTACAGCTGCAGAGACCACGTGGCCTAAAAAGCTAAAGGTATTTACTAGCTGACTCTTTACAGAAAAAGACAGGTCTGCTGACCCCTGGGCTCCTATGCCCCCTCGCCCCTGAGAGCAGCATCGGGTTAGGCCCTGCCATGCCGGAGCATCGGGTGTAGGGGAAGTCTAAGCCCCACCAGCACAAAACAGGACCCACTTACCCTGGGTGTTGGCAGGTCCAGCGCTCCACGCCCCATAGCCTGCAAACACAAGACCCTGTAAGTTAGTGTCGTACTTGTGGGCCAGCTCCATGCACGGCAAGAACGTGCTGCTCAAGAGAAGCTGGGTCCCACAAGGCGACTGTGGTTCGAATCCCTGGGCTGGTCAGCCCGAAGCACGCCAGGCACACAATCCACGAGTGCCCCAAACTCAAAGGGCCAGAGCATGGGAGGAAGGGGATCGTAGGGTGGCCGGACCCTGTGCGGGGGGGGCTCGTTTCTCTCTTGCACATGCGTGTACATGCTGTCGTGAATAAAGAAACACAAAGGTCCTATCTGTCACAGAGGACGGGTGCTTCTGAGGTGTTCTGGGGAGCTTGTGGGAGACCTTGCAGGAATTCAGTGCCAGCCTTACAAGACAGCAGCACCCCCACCCTACGCCATCACCCCATAGCTGGCTGATTGGATCGTCACACTCCACTGGCTGGGGCCAAAGCAGAAACGAGAGAGGGGAGGGGACTGGACTGCAAAGATGGCTCTGCCTGTGGCCTGCTAAGGGGACCTCACCCCTGCAAACCTCAATCCACCCACCAGTGAGGATGACCTGACCGTTACCAGCTCACCCACCACACGGCAGGGAGACCAGCTCAGACTGTGGTCACAAACACATCATTAACTGGGAACGAACTTAGCAGACTGTGCCTTCCTAAGCATCACTTCCACATGATTTTATTCATTTTCTAAGGTTTTGTTTCAGGGAGCAAGCTCTCACCAGAGAGGGGGGGAAACGAGAAAGTGCAGCCTCAGGGGGTTTGGCCATGCCACAATCTCTTCTCCATTCTCTCGGGACTTCTGGGCACACATGCACATGCTCCCAGTATGTTTCTTTCCTTTTTTGTTTAAGAATTATTTGTTATCATTAGCATTTTTTTCCTTTTTCTGGAGAGTGTTTTTCCATAGGGCATGTGTGCTCGCCAGAAAGACAGAGACAGAAAGTGAGAAATCACCCCCGGGGGGATGGCCACGCCGCAATCCCTTCTCCTCCATTCTCCTCTCAGGATCTTGGGCACGCACACACACATGCCCCGTGTGAGTTTAAGCTACCAGGTCCAGAACTTGAACCGTGGTTGACTACATGGGAGTCGAGCGATATAGCAATTACGCCAACTGCTGCGCTCTATTATTAGTATATATATATATTTTTTTTTTTTGGAGAGATTTTCGCTGTAGGACGCGTGCGCTCGCCAGACAGAGACAGAAAGCGAGAAATCACCCCCCAGGGGGGATGGTCACGCTGCAATCCCTTCTCCATTCTCCTCCCTGGATCTTGGGTACGCACGCACATGCGCCCGGTGTAAGTTTTAAGCCACTGGGCCCGGGACGCGAACCGCGGTCGACTATGTGGGAGTCCAGAGACACAGCCATTACGCTAACTGCTGGTTCCCTATTATTAGTATTTTTAATTTGACCAGAGAGAGACGAGAGAGAGAAAAAGAAGGTGAGAAAGTAACTCCCAGGTCCAGGACTCGAACTGTGGTCAGCCATGTGCAAGTCCTACACCTCAACCGCTGTGCCACCTGCCGGATCCTACTCCCAGGATGTTTTATAAGGCTGCTGGACTGGAACCACACAGTCAGCTATGTGGGTTCCGGTCACTTTAACCACCATGCCACCAGCTGGCCCTCTGTATGACTGTAAATCCTCCCGGCCCTCAAGTCCCTGGGCCTCCACCTAGCCCAAAGGGATCATCTCACCCCTGTAGGCAAGAGGGGGGAATTATGTCCCCTTTTTCTCTATGTCCCTGGAGAGAGCACAGAGCTGGGCACAGGTGGCCACACATACCTGTCAAGTGCCTTCTCTTAAGATAAAGCAAGACGGGACCCGCAGATGGCGTAATGGTTACATCACTGGACTCTCACATAGTTGACTGCGGTTAAGAGTCCCAGTCCCAGACCAGCGGCTCAAATGCATGCTGGGCGCGTACATGTGCACATGTGTGCACACGCGCATGTGTGCCCGTGATCCCATGAGGCAAAGGGAGAAGAATGGATTGCAGCATGACCACCCCCTCCTGGGGGTGATTTCTTTCTTTGTCTCCCTGTCTGTCTCTCCAGTGAGTGTACGTGCGTGCCCTGTAGCAAAAATCTCTCTCCAAAACAAAACAAGACAAGTGAGAGTATGTCCCTGTTTCCAACGCCAGAACAACTCCCACCACTGAGGGTGTACTGTATGCCCCCACATGGCAGTCATGCAACAAACATGGCTGCCCCCAAATGCCACTCAGAGCTAGGGGGCTGAGTGAGGGGCCCTGACCCACTACCTCACGGTGGGGGTTGGCCCTCTGCTCACCTTTGCAGCCCACACCCTCCCACCCTTCCTGTTTCCACCACGTGGCCTTCCACATAGCTGCAGCAGAAAGGCTGAGGACAGGTCCTAACAGCAAGTAATCAACCTCGGGGCACTGACCCGCATTCCGATAGGCACTGGTCCAAGTGGGATAGGCTATCCTCGAAATACCCAAGACAGAAGAACTCAGGGAGGCTGCAGGGTCTTCACGAAGCCTGAAAGATTCTCAGTAGACAGGAAGTACGCGTGGAGGGGGGAGGGAGAGGGAGATAACTTCTCCAAACTAGGAGCTTAAACCGGATTTCCCCCCCACACACACATAAAGATCTGCTGGGAAGGAAAGCAAAGAACGGCAAGACCCAGCTGGACTGCAGAAGGGGGAATGCACCAGTCTGAGCTACCCGAAGGATTTCTTTCTTTCTGACGTTCCTGCAGAAGATCCAGCTACTCGGCCACCTCTGGAAGATGCGTGCGGCCAGCCAAGTCTTCCCTGTAAGCAAACGTGGCTCCCAGCCCAAAGCCAAAGACTCCCACGAGGCTCTGAGTGCAGAGATTGGGCGCTAAAGTCAAGTGGACAAAGGTACGTTCGTCCCTACAGCTCTTGGGCCCTTCCAGGCCTGTCACCATCCGCAGGGGACCTCAAGTTTCCTGCCTCTCACAAGAACATACCCAACATTAGTCTCTCGGCGTGTTGACCCCACGTTGCCTCTGCCTCTCCCCGGCCAGGTCTCACCGGGCACGCAGCAAGCACCCAGCAAGGCTGCCCCTGGGGCCCGCCACGCTGCGCCGCGGGACCGGTGGCAAAGGGCCTGACCCCGTGGGGACCGGACCGCTTCCCGGAGGGCGGCCCCGAGTCACGTGCGCCGAGCGGAGGCTCAGCCGAGTCCTACTGGCCCTTGATGGAGGCGACCCCCACACTCGGCGACCAGCCGCAGACCCCGCGCGGACGGCCTTACCCTACGACCCCGTGCGGTGGCTCCGCCCCCACGCGCCATTTTGTGGCGCCTTCCGAAGAGGAAGGCGGGACTGCGAACGCCTGGGT